TTTACGGTGTGCCGGCTCGATTTGCTGCCGCGGCAGCCGCAGCCACGTGAGGAACGATCCGCCCAGGCAGGCCGAAGGCAGGCGCCCTGGCGTACCGAGTGCTGCACTCAAACTGCGTCCTCTGCGTTGCAGCTCAAGAAAGAAAAGACTTGACTCGGAAGGCGGTGGTGCGGCTGTCAGGGGGCTGCGGTTTCGCCGTGTCCGACTGTGAAGCACTCCTGCCGCGGAGACAGTGTCCAGGAACGTCCAGGAGAACCCCGGGGAGAATATTTTCCAGGAGAATATTTTCTTTGCTAGTTCTGAAATAGTTTTTTAAGGTTTTTAGAGCGTGTATCGCGTCGCCCAGATGGAAAGCCGGCTCCGGTTTCGAGCACGCAGCTGAGGCCCGATCGCCGCGCCGCCGCTGTGCCACCGCCCCTGGGCAGTCAGGGTAAAGTGATAGGTCAGCGATCACTGCCTTTTTATGTTTTAATTACAAGAACCCCTTTTGCCGCGCCTGGATCGACTTGGGGATCTCACTCGGCTCCGTGTCTCGCCAGGTACAGTCAGCAGCAACAACGCGCGAGCTTGTTGATTTCACGTGCAGATTGGTGGCCTGGTGGGAGGATTCCGGCTTCCCACTCGATGCGAAGTAGTATCGCTAGAGGAGTCAGTGGCGTCGCGGGGTCGACGCGCCACGGGCAGGGCGACGCGGGCAGGCGAGTCCCGCGCCTCCTGGCTGGACTGTACCCCTAATGGATGATATCTATATTAGTCGGACTGTAAGCGAGCTGCTAAGTAACTACCGGTGGCCACGCCCCTCTGGCACCGGCTGCTCCTCCGCGCCACGCCGCTCTCCGTGTAGCGCAGCGCCGTGCGATCAGATCTGTACTGCCAACAAATCAGCCGGCTGGCACACAGCTCCGCCCCTGCGCCGCGCCGGGCCGTGGTATTACATTCATGTTCACGCCGCAACGTGCTGGCCACCCCGGCTTGCCCGCCCGGCCCGGTTCAAGGTTCGTCGGGAAGTGCCGAAACGGCGTCGCGGCGGCGCTGCGGCTGACACGCCGGAGTCACTCCATTGACCAATTGACCGAAGGAGAGGAAAAAGGACTTGAAATATGTAAGACGACGGGCTGCTTGAGGTCCTTGACGCGTGTGACATATGCAGCGCACATCACGAGCAGCCCGGCCGCCCCCAGTCCATCGCCTGACCCTCCCCCTTCAGTCCTTCGGTCCGCCGCGCGCATACAAACTATCCTGCGGTCGCAACCCTCCGCTCTCTGCAATTTTCAATTTTCGGACAGTGGGGTCCCCTTCGGTCCCCTCGGCCACTTCTGCCTCATTCATTCCGCGGTTTGCAATCACCATGCACCGCGCTGCAACGCCGTGCCGGCCGTGCCATTCCGCACTGCATGACAAGAAGACGTTGTGCGCCTCCAAACTCATTCCCCCAGCCGTATTTTACCCGGGGGCGGAATTCGGAGACGGCTATCCTGTGGGAACCGGCCGGCCAGCCACCGAAGTGAGGTTGCCACCCACCGCACCGTGAATCAGTCAATGCAGCCGCCCGGGCTGCCGCCCTGCCGCCGCCGTAACCTTGCCGGATGGACACTTTAACGAATCCGTGCACCGAGGTAATTCAATTAATTTCCACTTGTCCGGCGGAGCCTCGCAGCCTTGAGCGCCGCGGCGCGCTGCGGCCAGGCCTTAGTTAACTGAGGTCAGGTGGTCAAATTTTGTGGGCGGCGGCGGTGTGCAGAAAGCCATTTCTATTCCCTTCGATCGGCCGCCTGCTCGCCCCTCTACTTGACAGTTCAATTCACACTCGTTGCCGCGGAGCGCACGTCAGATAACTCACTCAAACCTCGCGCCGCCTCGAGGAGCCTCCCGCAGCCGTCAGCCCCGTTGGCCTACACTCTGTGCTTTGGCGGAGGATGACCCATCGACCTTTTGGGAAACCGAACATATTCGCGCGAGGGCCGGCGAGTCTGCTCTGGAGTTCAACAACGCCCTGCTCTTCACCTCACGTGTCGTCGAGAAAAGCTTCCCTGGCAGTGCAGCGAGGGGTGAATCACTAGTGTACTCGTACAGATTCGTCCGTACTCAGTGTACACACAAGTTATAAAAGGGTGAAATTCTCTTTATATTTTGGTTGATTTTGGTGTTGCGTATCGTTAAAAAAAGCAAAATAAAGCCGTAAAACGTTTGAAATGTGAATTTAATGAGTAAAGTGAGGCACATCATGTGTTCACTAAGAACTCTGAGTGATTAACCCTCGCAGTGCAGCGCGTGTTTAATTTTCGGAACCGTGCCGAAAAAGTAGTTCCGGCACTTTCCACTAGAAATTTGTGTTCAATTTTGTACGTGATTTTAAACCTGTGTAACGTCATGCATAAAATTGTGCTCAAATTTGCATAAAATTATGCATTTTTACGCAGAATATGATGCAAATTCCACGTATGCACAGAGTATCGTGCAAGTTACACGTAAAAAATTTTACATAAACATTTAGTGTGTTCCAATCTTCCAATTGTATAAAATTGCCGAAGGCAGGACGATGCACTGCAAGGGTGACGATCTCGCAAAGGACAGGTCGCACCTACCGGACAATTAAGACTGAAGAGAAAAAGGCACTCCAAGAAATGAACGGAGTGAAAAAAACGGAGTGGAAAGGGAGGGAGAAGTTGCGGCACGGGCAGCAGAGCCGTGGCAGAGCGGGGCGGCAGGTGAAATGAATTAATGGTGGAGAGGGGACGGCGACAAAGAATTAATGGAAAACGGAGGAAACGCCAATAATGGCCGGCGATGAAGACCACCCGATAGGCCATCTGCAGAGAGAGTAAAAGGAGGGGGGCGGACGTGGCGCCTGTGGCAGACTAATGTCTCCACACGAGCGGCAAGACGGCGGTTCGATATCAGGGCAACAAATGTCACGGAGTTGTTGCTAGATGAGGGCGCCGCCAGGTGTGGCCCTTTGTAATGATCGCAACATGATGGCCGCGTCGGCCGAAGCCTGGCGAACCGCAAAACTGGCGCGTTTCTCCCAATTTTCGACGAGAACTGGAGTCCACACACACACACACACACACACACTCACACACACAGCCGTCGAGTGTGTCCTCCTCGGCGCGCGTGCTGCTGGGGGAGTCACGTCTCAGCGGAACACCACGACGCGACGTTTGTCCAAGTTCACGAGGAGCTTGAAGGCGTCAAGAGGGAAGGAGCATGCGTCATGCCTCGGACATGTTCTTCCCTCTGAGGGAAAAAGGGCCGTGTGTGTGTGTGTGTGTGTGTGTGTGTGTGTGTGTGTTTGTGTGTGTCGAGGGGAGGGGGCAATCTGGTGGTTACAATTCAGTCCTCTGCGACCCTAAAGTGAGTGGTACGAATTTGTGCGATTGTTTCGGGAAAGAGGTGTTAGAACAGAAAGTGCTCCCTCCCCCCCCCTCTCCCCCCCCCACCCCAAATGAGAAGGCAGAAAAAAAGGGAGACAGTCTCGCGGTGACGTTGTTTTCGCTCGATTTGGATGAGCTCGCCGCGGAGTGTAATCCTTGTGCAGTGTCGCCCCGGTCGGCTAATCTCGCTGAAAGCTGATTGGGCGGAATGATTTAAATGCGCTTTCATTATCTGCCTGATAAGTCGATATTGTCCTTGTAATCTCCCCCGCCCCCAAGCATCGCGGCAACGCGGTGACAGCTGCTGACTTGATTCGTTCCCGTGCGGTGGACTTGCATTTTTTTTGCACGCATTCTGCGCTTGTGATTTATACACCCGGAACCCCCAATTTGTTTCCATTCCTGGTTGTTATTCCTCTCCTAGGCTAGACCAGCCTAGCCCGGCCTGGTGGGTAGCGAGCTTCATTATGGGGCGCCCATTAGGCGTGCTGCCCAATTTAAGACTGGCTGGCGATAAACCAGCGACTTCCCACTCCGGTCAAAAGGGTTACCGCTCTTTGCCCCCCTTTTTTTCACAAACGCACTCGGAAATGCTAAATTTAATAGTTAGTTGATGAGGTTCCTGCGAGACTCTCTGAGAAGTTGTGTTTCACTTACAGTGTATCGTACCTGTGCACATTTTCACACCAATGCAAAGTTGTATGAGAAAAAATAGCTCTGAGGAAGCGGCAGAACGGCGACGCAGACGCTCATTCTCTTAGTTCAAAGTTCCCGCCAAAACTGCCCCATTTGACTGCCTTCGTTTTCTTTCTGTGTTCCTTCCTCTAGGATCGCCAAAACAAGCGTTCCTTCGGTGTGCGCGTTGGCTCGTCGGCAGCACTATACTCAACGAACGGGGCAAGCTTCGTGGGCACCGAGAGGCAAGCAGCGAGGCCGTCGGCCGCGACAGAAAGGGCTCGGAGCGCGGCTCGCCGGCGTGGGTACGGATTTCTGCGACTCGGAGTAACAACAACTGAGTGAGTCGTGATTCGGAGGGGAGCTGCGGCGCCGCGCGGTCTTGCTCTGTCGGAGAAAGGGTCGGATCGCGGCCACTCGGTGTAGGGCCACGGCCCGGCCCCTTTCGGGTCCCTCTCGGGTTCCTCGAGCAAGATGTCACTGCCGCTCGCTGCCGCCTGATGACAATCCGGAACATTAGCGGCAACTGGAGTCCAGACTGGACTCCAGACTGGAGTCCACAGAGTAATGACGGCGAGGCACGCCCTTTGCTGCCACCGCCCGACGGCCACGCCGCACGGGCCAGAGGACCGCTGGAGGCGGCGGGGCAAAACCTCTGGACGCGTTGTGAGCACTAGAGTCCATGAACAGGACTGAACGTATGACCCCACCTGCCGCGTTCGGACGTATTAGGTAAAGCGCGCATTTGCCACTGGTACGCCAAGACGGGTCAATCCTTTCACGCCGCCTCCGCCCTGCGTACCGCGTCCGACGCTGAGTCGAGCTGCCGCGGTCCAGCCGGGCCTTGTGGAGCGAGCCGAGCCGTGGCGCTGGGGCACCCCAATGGGGCACCCCGGCTCGGCCCCGCGTTTTCCGGAAAATCCCGGCCGGCCCGCACCCGTGGCAGGCGAGGGGAGAGGAGGGGCAGCGGTGCACCTGGGGATTTTGGCGACTCGCGCGTCTCACGGCTCATTTAGTAAGTGACGCCCGTGCCGTGCACATCGAGTGCCCGCCAGCGTGCCGGCCCCGCCAAGTTCGCGAGTTTGGAAGTGTGGAAGCCAGGTGCATCCCGATTCACCAAGTGTAGTGGCTCAGTGAAAAGTTGTTGACCGCGGAGAAGATTCAACTGCATCCGTGGAGCCGCGCACTGCTGGATTTCTCAGGTATGTGCCGTCAGTGCTGTGTGGGCCCGTCTTTTAAATTACGTTACGCAGTTCGGGACAGTTTTTGAACCTCGGGCCTCGAATATTTAGTGACGTTACGCTGACGCTTGCACCAGTTTCCCCCTTTCTTAACATAAAGCGATTTTCTCCCTAATTTTACTTTTTTACTCTCTCAATGTGATTCCGCCAGTACCGTCTTGTGCGCAGCGTTACGCCGTCTCGATACCCCTGCCCCTGCGTAACGTAATCAGTGGGCGTCCCCTCTATTCCGTAATGTGGTACTAGGGAATCGAAACTGAGGAAATATTCCTTCGTTGCAGATAGCTCAACATCGCGAGGAAAAATGAGCAGCGAGTGTCCACTTTGTTTCGAATCGATCGCATCGCCATCGGAGCTGGACTTGCACATGAAAACTCACACCGATGGGATACCTTTCAAGTGTACTGTGTGCTTCGAGACTTTCGGCCAAGCCACCGATCTGAAATCGCACCTACGGGCCCACATGCAAGAGATGTCATCCTCTGACTGCGCAGCTGCCAAGAAGAAAGGCAGTGACGGTTCCAGTCTCAAATCACACCTCGCTTCGAACACTGGAAAGGGGCCTTTTGAGTGCACAGTTTGCCACAAGACGTTCAGATACGTAAGCGTCCTCAAAGTGCACCTTCGCATCCATACAGGGGAGATGCCTTTTGAGTGTGAATTTTGCAGCAAGAAGTTCGGTTGCAACCTCAGGGCGCACATTAGGGCCCACACTGGAGAAAAGCCTTTCGAGTGTACCGTTTGCACGAAGAGGTTTGTCAGCAGCAGCCATCTCAGGATGCACGTTCGGATCCATACTGGACAGGACTTTAGTTGTACAGTCTGCTCCAAGAGTTTTGGTGGAGAACAAGCTCTCAGAGGACACGTTCGCACTCACAGAGAGGAGTTGCCTTTCGAGTGTATGGTTTGCCACAAGAAATGCCGTACAGGTGCCGACTTGAAGAAGCACGTGCGCACTCACACAGGGGAAAAACCTTTCGAGTGCTCAGTTTGTCACAAGAAGTTCAGCCAAGTTGGCACTCGCAATCAACATCTTCGCACTCACACTGGGGAGAAACGTTTTGAGTGCGCCGTTTGCAACCAAAAGTATGCCCAAGCTGCCCATCTCAGAAAGCACATTCGCACTCACACCGGAGAGAAACCTTTTGAGTGTGATTTTTGTCACATGAAGTTCAGCGATGATAGTGCTCTACGGGGGCACCTTCGCACCCATACGGGAGAGAAGCCTTTTGAGTGCACATTTTGTGACAAAAAATTCTCTGCAAGTTTTGGTCTTCGATCGCACATCCGTGTCCATACTGGGGAAAAAAGCTTTGAGTGCACAGTTTGCAAGAAGAAGTTTGGCCACGGTCAGCATCTCGAAATTCACGTTCGCACCCACACAGGAGACAGACCATACGAGTGTTCAGTTTGCCAGAAGAGGTTCACACAAACCAGCCATCTTAGAACGCATCTTCGTACCCATTCCAAGAGGAAACCTTTTGCCTGACAAGTTTGCATGGAGAAGAAATGACTACGAACCTGATCAGTCTCAATGATTACCCTTACCTTGTAAATTTAAATTTTCAGATATTCTTGTATTTGTTGTGCTAGTGTAGATGAAAACAGAATGGCGTGGAAGTTAAAAGTCTCTGAGCCTTTGAAAAATAAAATTAGTTTAATAGATGTAAAGTGTCAAATTACATAAAAATTACTATTTAAGTTCTGTTCAAATAAACATTTATTTTTCCTACCAAGAACAATTTCTATCGATTTGTAACCCCTTGCAGAGCTCATGAAATTGAAACAAGATACATCTTTGGAAACCAAAAGAGAACCTCGTAGATCCACATGTATAACACCTAAAATTTCAGAGTGCTGATATTCGTGTGGCGAAAAAGCTCATATCCGTAACGATATTTTTTCCTTGAATCGCTTACTTTTGGCGCGGGGTCGCGCTTCGAGCTCTCCAAGGCCCTAAACATGGTCGAGCTCTGGGAAGGCCGACGTCGGTGTGACGCGGGACAAGGGAAGGAAACTTCCGTGGTCAATCACTGCGCGTCCGCCTCGCCCTTAGAGCGCACGGTTGACGGTAAACGCTTCATTGTCTTGCCGACACATGTGTTATTCCGACAGAGGCGCCCGTTAAATCGTGCACCTCCTGACATCCCGTGGGAGGCCGGCCGCCGCCGCGGCGTCGCCCACCCAAATTATGGACTGCTTTGCGGCGCCGGGGATCAAATGATGCGGTGCCGCGGCGTTTGGCCGACAGGGCGCGCTTGTTATGCCTCGTGACGGCTGGCCCACATTCCGGGAGAAAGTCCACCTGGTGAAAACAAAGACAAGTGCTTTGCGCCGGTCGCAAGTTTGCTTGCCACAAAATTGGAAAGCCGTTTTGAATGTCCGAAAATTGGCAAGACTTGACCTGAGATCTTCATTAGTTCGCCAAATTTTGGCGTTGCCGCCGCCTGCAATGCCAAATTTTGGCAAGCTGATGAAGATTCCAGGAACAGGCTTGCCAACTTTTGGCATTGAAAACTGCTTGCCAGTTTTGTTGCAACCGAACTTGCCACCGGCTTTGCAAAAATTGCGTTAGGTTAATCTCAAGGATTGAAAGAACCAAAGACTTTTCCAAAAGAACGACAAACAAACAGTCAAATCACTTCTGGGATGAAAATTTCCGGCCTTCATTGCTACTTCTAGATTGAACACTACTTGCTGGAAGTTTAGTTAGGTTTGCGTTCCAATCGGCACACGGGCGCGGCAGACGGCCAGCGGGGAAGGCAGAAAAGGTGAGCTGACGACCGTGCACTGGCTGTCCAGGGCGCGGGGCGGCGCGGCGCGGTCGTCGGAAGGAAGTCGTTTGCCCACTCTAATTGAATTAGAGCCACGCTCCAAGACGTCCCCGACATTGTAGTATAGTCCTGGCGAGAAGTTCTAAAGTGGAAAAGAGAGCCCCGCGCATCAATTTTGTTTATTCTTTTTCTTTCCTTCTTTTTTTTTTTTTGCGTCTGGGCGCACGCACACTGATCTTGTCTTTCCGCGATTATGACCGAGGAAAAAGAGAGAGAGATGTAAATTAATTAGCCGCGGGAGTGCAGTCACTGCAGTCCGAGAAACAAGACGGACAAAATGAGACGGCCGCCTGTCACGCCGGGCGCCTGCCTCGCAGCGTCGCGCGGTGACGGCTCAATCCCGAGCGGCTCTCGGCCCATCACCATCAGTTTATCGTCGAAAAAAATAAATTCTCTCGCTGTTCGGGAAAAGCCACACGTCGAGAACGAACTCGGGATCCGTTTCCTAACGACCGTCACCCCCTCAAAAACGAACAATAAAATAGTGGGACTGCTTAGCAGCTCCTGCGTACCAAGCTACCCCCGAGCTCAAAGGCTGATAGGTGCGGCATATGGGTGGACGGGCGGACGTCGGACTGCACGTGAGCGGGCCGATGAAAAATCGGTTTGTAATGAATTGGTCTTGTGGCGTTTTACCTGAGTGATTAGAGGCACGACACGGGGCAGGTGGCAGACGCGTCCACCTTCACGCTCCATTCATTCCGACAGAGCATTCACAGCGACAAAACTGGCCCGGTTCAAAGTCTGTCTGTCTGTCTGTCTGTCCGTCTCTCTGTCTGTCTCTCTCTCTCTCTCTCTCTCTCTCTCTCTCACGCACACACACAACGCACCCGTCGACACCCACGCTGCGGTTTGAAAGGAGTGCCGTTCGATTTAAAAATAGCGTCGGTCTAAATGATCTGCAGCCGAATACGGCCCGTGTGACTTTCAATCGGCCATCCGGCAGGTCAATTACGTTCTGACACCTTTTAGCAGCGGCGCGGCTCGGCTACCGCACATTACCATACCCGCCCGCCAGTGTGGCGTCCGGAGCGCCCCCCGCGGGCCGCGTCCGAACAGTCGACCTGTCTCCCTCGCACTCACGCCCCTCGCCGCAAGTGTGCGAAGGGAGACAGAAGCGCTTTCGGAAGCAGCGCGAGACCTTCGAGATGGAAGGGGATCGATACCCGCTGCATATCGCACGGAACGTGACGTGTTTTCGACTCTGTTTGGAGAGATAGGAATGCTGAGATATTACTGGGTGCGGACAAAATGAATGGCCCCAACGGAGATGGGTCTGCTTTCTAGGAAGTCCGAAAATTGTGGTTTTGACTGAATTTCGGTTATCCCTGTGACCAATCCAAGGCGGGAAATCGTACTCCTTTGACGGGTGGGTGTTCTTTGGACCTTCCTTTAGCACGCTTTCGTTACGGAGTGTGGTTTTCCGCCTTAATTTGGTAGCAGTGTTGCCGCAAAGTTGGGCAAAACGGCAAAACAAATGTGTGGAAATCAGTAAATGGGCTCTACCATCGAACTTGGCTATCCGACGACATCGGAGCCGCCATCTAGAGTAAGCGCGCCGTCGGTGCAGCCGCGCGTGGACGACGTGGACGCTCCTTCCCGGTAAGGGTTTCATCGACGCGGTCAGTGGCTGCGCTCGCTGCGCGCTGCCGCCCCTCCCCCGCCGCTTCCGCTCAGGTCCGCGTTCCGCCGCACAGAGACTTGCCCGCGGGAGACGGACCCGCGGCCAGCATTAAAATTCAATTAATGCGCTTTGGCGCATCAACACAGCGATCGAACGTGCCAGAGCTACCGTGAGTCATCCCGGTACGTCATCGGGGCCTGGGTCTCTCTGGGCCTCTCGACGCGGCCGTGGCCGGGGCGCTGTGAGGCGGATCAGTTGGAGAGGTGAGGCAAAGGGGTATTCACACTGGAGTGGCGCGGCCCGCGTCTTCACGCCGATGGATACAGCGAAACAGTCCAGGCTGCTTGTTTTGTTTCGACACCAAGAACGCACCCCCACCAGGAAGGGCGAAAGACTCAAAAGATTACCCCTCTCTGAATGGAAGTGGCTCTCCAGGCAACAATATGACCAGTTTCGTCAAAAGGGGCCGGACGGGTTCCGCGGCGAGGACGGCCTGCTTTGGGATGAATGTTGGTTTTACGTAATGCAGCTGCAGAGGTCATCACTCCCCGGATTGTGGTGACACGCGTTAACACAAACACGGACCGAGTTTAGCGGACCGGGGCGGTTTTCCAGTGTCTGTTGCAGTGGCCGCTACAATAATTTATTTAATACAAACAGTTCTTTGTTGAGCTGGCTATGCCAATGAGTGTCAGTCGCCTAGCCGTAAGTAGCCTGCCGTACACAAACCCCGGGACAAGGCCGTACAAACCAAATAGTCGGTGGCATGATGTAGCAGGTATCCATGTCAAGCCACAATAGAGATCGCTCCTCTCCCGCGGGAAGCTAATGACCAGTGTAGATGTCTGGGACCGTATTGTTGCGCCGTCATCGACAAACGAGGCCCCGCGTAACGCGTTCTGACATCGTGGGATATCTCACTCGGTTCTGGACCCATTCCGATTGGATCTTCATTCACGGTGATGACCGGGTAATGAATGACGGACGACTGTCCCTTGGCGCCTTTGGCAGTGCAGCAGCTATTGGCCACCGCGGTGCACCGCCCCCTCAGGTACCGTACGCCGCGAGAAACATCCGCCTTGTTGAGCGTCCCAATTGTTTCCTAGAAGGCGGCGCCATGGCCGGCAACAGCTTCGTGATTTTCGGGCAGACAGGTCGCCTTCCTCGGCGTCGCGCGACTCAAGCCTGCAGCAGGGTTGGCCGACACTCGAAACCCTCTCCAGGTGCAAGTTTACGGTGGTCAAAACGCATCTCATTGGTGGGACGTGAGTGCTTTCTCAGCAAACCTATCAGGATTTTTGAGAATTTTCTCTTTTATTCGCCACCATGGCACATTCTAACCATGTCAGCAGATCATTTTATGAATTTCTGAAAATAGTTTTGGATCGGAAAACTGGTTGTTGTATTGACCCGGTAGGAAGGCCCCCGTCGCGCGGTGTCCTTGGGCCCTCGTGAGGTGTGACAGTAGGGTGCGTCAGTTAATGGCGCCGTGGCAGTGGCGTGACGACCATGGCACACTCAGCATGCCGTTTGCAGACAAGTCTGCTGCAATGTTTTCTATAAAAATAACGAAACCGTTTACCACTCCTGCACGGTACGCCAAGGACGGTCTTTGAAGGTGACCAGGAGTAGGAGAAGGGAAATTGAATCAAATTGCATTACTTTTTAAATTTCATTTGTAAGTTTCCTTGCCACTGGAGTGGTAAGCGGACTTCCCAATGGAGCTGCAGTGAATACAATGTAAAGAGGTTAAAAGTAGTTCCGTTGGCTGCGCGGGCTGGCGCTTGGCCGCGCTTCGCACAAATCGCGGCCCGAGTTCGCCGGAATCGCATCATCGTCACCAAGGACCGTACGACGGTGGCCGTCAGACCAAGGACGGAATCGCTCGCTCCGCTGCCCGGCGGAACTCCGGGAATCGGAAACTCTGGGAAAGCCTGGGGCCGTTTTCGAAACTGTCTCAGGCGACGCGCAATCTAATTGGAGGAAAAAGCGAGCCGCGGCCAATCCGAGGCGCGAGGTTATGTGGGCCTGCCAGTGCGCTGGCAGTGTCTGCCAGGCGCACGCTTCCAGGAAACCAATTTGTGTTGTTATTGTTGTTATTTAGCCTCATCTGTCTCCGCTGTCATCACCACCGCGGCTGTCATCACGAAGCGCGGTGGCGAGTCCGGGCCGCGGGGCCGAGGGGGCCGTGTGGCGAAACACACTGCATGGGTCACCGGCCACGGGGGCCGTCCCGGAGAGCGCAGCCTACCGCCTGCACTGGTA